GTCACCACCAGAGGCTTCGTAAAAAACAACAAGCCATTGCGAGAGAGGAAGCTGAAGAAATCTCGCAACGAGCACAACAAGTGGCAGATGAGGAGCCAACTGCATTCAGAATGTTTAATGGACACAACATTGATGCAGTAAATCCTATCATCTCGTGGATCGAAATGGACGATCCCGAAGCTGAACAAATAGCCCGCATGATACTTTCTATAGCAGATTGCGGCTATGCTGAACCAGAAGAAGACCTGAAAGAAGCGGCACTCCAGTCAAACACTGGCAGCCCAGAAGATCAGGTTATTAATGAAGTAGAATCTTGGGAAAAACTAGTACCAGATTATCTACATTCATTTGGTGATGTCTTCTCCAAGAAAGCGTCCGAAAGGATGCCAACTCGAAAGCCTTACGATCATGCAATCGAGTTTGAAGAAGAACATGAATTACCACGACCAAGCAAACTCTATCCTATGAATCCGGAGGAAAGAAACTCCCTAGATTCATGGATCAACGAAAATCTAGCAAAAGGCTACATTCGAAAATCGAAATCACCTATTGCTGCCCCAGTATTCTTTGTCAAGAAGAAGGACGGCACACTAAGACTGGTACAAGATTACCGAAAACTTAATGCCATAACCAAGAAAAATCGCTTCCCTATTCCACGAATAAGCGAGCTTATCGATCAGCTCAGTAATGCGTCAATATTCACCAAGCTGGATCTCAGATGGGGATACAACAATGTTCGCATCCGCAAGGGTGACGAATGGAAAACAGCTTTCGTGACGCATCACGGTTTATACGAAGCCACGGTTATGTTTTTCAGTTTCTGTAATGCACCAGCCACCTTCCAACACATGATGAATGAGATCTTAGATGATCTTATTCGGGAAGGTCATGTGATCGTCTACCTCGATGATATCCTAATCTTCACTAACGATTTGAAACAACATCGGAAGATTACCAAAGAGGTAATTAAAAGATTACGGGACAACGACCTTTTTGCCAAACCAGAAAAGTGCTTTTTCGAACAGTCCTCGATTGAGTACTTAGGGATGATTATCTCTAAAGGCGAGGTCCGTATGGACCCTCAAAAGGTCGCAGGTGTACTCGACTGGCCTGAGCCCAAGAAGGTTAAGCAAGTCCAAGCTTTTCTGGGGTTCGCAAACTTCTATCGTCGATTCATTGAAGGATTTGCCAAAAAGTCTCGACCACTCAATATCCTTACACGAAAGGATCAGAAATGGGTATGGAACGAAGAGCAACAACAATCATTCGATGCTCTCAAGAAAGCTTTCACAACAGCTCCAATTCTGGCATTACCGGATGATACGCATCCATTCCGGTTGGAAACGGATTCCAGCGATTTTGCCACTGGGGCATGCCTCGAACAACTCAAAGACGATGGGTTGTGGCATCCAATCGCATTTTATTCGAAGAGCCTCAATGAGGCTGAGCGGAACTATGAAATCTATGACAAAGAGATGCTCGCAATTATTCGAGCGTTGGAAGAATACCGACAACATCTCGAAGGTCATCCGCTCCCAGTCGAAATATGGTCCGATCACCAGAATTTAACCTATTTCAAATCAGCACAAAAGCTGACGAGACGGCAAGCTCGATGGTCGCTATATCTTACACGGTTCAACATCCAACTACATCACAAACCAGGGAAATCAATGCATCGCGCAGATCCTCTGTCCAGGAGGCCAGATCATGAAGAGGGGGTAAATCTCGATAATTCCGACAAAACTCTACTCAAACCGGAATATTTCGCGATTAAAGCTATTCAACATACCCATCTTGCAGTCGTCACAGATCATGATTTGGTGGACAAGATCAAGAAGGCGTTACAAGACGACAATGTGAACAACTCATATCAAGACCTACTCAAGAAAGGACAACGAGAGTTCTCGAAAGGACTCGAAGACTGGAACTTCGAAAGTGGGATATTACTATACCGAGGCAAAGTCTATGTGCCAAAAGCAGATAATAAGGAATCACTTAGACGAGAAATCGTACAGCGTCATCATGAAGCTGCCAGTGCAGGTCATCCTGGAAGATGGAAGACATATGAGATGTTATCTCGTAATTACTGGTGGCCGGGAATGTCCACTTACGTCAAAAAGTATGTTGGTTCTTGCGACCTTTGTCAACGCAACAAGAACATCAATCAGCCCAAATACGGGGAATTACAACCAAATGAGGTTCCAACAGAACCTTGGGAAATTGTCTCTGTCGACTTAATCACTCAATTACCAGAATCCCATGGATTCAACGCAATTATGGTAGTTGTCGATCGTTTGACCAAACGAGCGCACTTCTTTGCAATCACCAATGAGTTCTCAGCATCAGACCTTGCCCGTACTTTCTATGAAAGAGTATGGACACAGCATGGTCTTCCGAGACAGATTATCTCGGATAGAGGTACTCAGTTTGCAAGCGCATTATTCCAGGAAGTATGCAAACTCCTTGGAATACAATCAACAATGTCATCCGCATATCATCCGGAGATCG